TCCATCCATCCATTTATTCATCCATAAATTGTTCTGTTTATCCATTCATCAATCCATCCATTCATACATCGTCTGTTCTATTTATCCATCTATCTATTCATCCATCCATCCATCCATTGTTCCATCCATCCATCCATCCATCCATCCATCCATCCTTCCATCCTTCCATCCATTCATCATTGTCTATTTATTCATCTATCCATTCATCTATCTATCTGTCCATCCATCCATCCATCGTTCCGTCCATCCATCCATCCATCCACCCTTCCCTCTATCTATCTATGTCTGTCTGTCTGTATGTCTGTCTGTCCGTCGGTCGGTCCGTCCATTTGGTCACACTTTAGCTTAAATATCAATTCTACTATTTACTACTGGATTATTGCCAGTTGATTAACAATCTTTTCTCCTATTTATTAGTACTTATAAAGTATGATATCATTCTGCATGTCTAATCATACCCATTATATACAACCAACTTCTATTAATAACAATTAATAAGCAGCAAATCAGTACGTTATTAAGCTAAATGTCGTTATTAAGCTAAATTTGACCTTAAACTAAAGTTGACCAAAGATACATAAGATGTGAATGTTTGTTAACCTTACTAAAACTCTAAATGTGAAAATGATCATAGACTTAGTTTAATAAATCATATAAAATAATCCATTTTATTCTTACAAACTGAAACTGAATTGTCATATATTACTGTAACATTAATTTAACACGTTTTAGTATGTTCGCTCATAAAGTTTAAAGTAAAAATAGAAGAAATATAAATACATCAGTGAAGTATCCCAAAATAGATCACATGGTTATTGAACAGACGTATTATCCATTTTTGTACAGTTTCCAGAAAAAAAAAAAAAAACATCTGTATGGTGATACACACACAGTTTCCGTGATTTGGGTCATGCCTCCCGCCACACACTCACACCTCTCCATTCATTCAGTGTTTTGACTTCCAGGACTTTTTCTGTTTCTCTGCCAGACATCTCTCATGCAAGTCATTATTCCGCAATGGATTGCAGTCTTTCCCCTCCGTCTCTGCGCCGCTGTAATAACGTCTCATTCATCACGGCCGTTTAAAGAGAGTTGCCTGTGCGTAAATAAAGGGTGAGGTCTGGCAGCCAGAAACTCGCTGATGCTATCAGGGAGATGATTCCTCATCACCGTCTGCTGCATGGATGAAAAAAAACAAACAAAAGCAGGACCTGTAGAGCTCAACGGCTCAAATGCTGGAACAGGATAACCTATGATTTTTAATTTTTTTTAAATATTGGCCAAAGGATGTTTGACTGAGCGAGGACATTTTCACAGTATTTCCTTTTTTTCTCCTGAAGAAAGTCTTATTTGTTTTATTTCAGCTAGAATAAAAGCAGTTTTTAACTTTTTAAAAACATTTTTAAGGTCAATATTATTAGCCCCCTTAAGCAATATTTGTCTACAGACCACTGTTATACAATGACTTGCCTAATTACCCTAACTATACCCTAATTAGCATAGTTAAGCCTTTAAATGTCACCTAAGCTGAATACTAGTGTATTAATAGTGTGAAATTAGAATGTGAAAACTTGTAACCATTGACTTCCATAGTAGGTGTAACGAAGTGGATGCTGACAACAGAAGTGCGGATACAATTGCACTTTATTAAGAGCACGTCGTAAATGCAATGGTCATAAACAGGAGCAAAACAGTAGCACAAGGGTAATCCAATAGACCTGGTCAAACTACAGGCGAGAGGTCAGATTTGGCGGCAAAGGATCAAAAACCAAGCAAGAATCAAAACATGAGGAGTCAAACAGGGAAAAACGCTTCGCAATGTTCATATACGAAAAAAGACTCAGCCATGTGTGAGTGAAGGTGAGGTGTCTTTTTAGTCCTTGTGATTAGTGATAACTAGCAGAAGCGGTGTCTGTGTGAATGTCCAGATTGTTGTCAGCTGTTGCAGGGGTTAATGAGTGCAAAGGGTTATGGTAGTTGTAGTTCATTGAGAATACCAGTAATCTCCAGCAGAGAAAAACGCTGCTGGTTATCACAACAGGCAAATACTATAGAAAAGCAGGACCTGTACAGCTCAACTGCTCAAATGGTGGACCACAAAAAAGTGATAGTTCATCCAAAAACACAGCGTCATTAATATGTTGATTGAGCACAAATACAGTGGTACAAATTGAATTTGTCATTAAAATGTCATTAAAAATTAACGATAATCAGCATATTGACAATTTTTTGACAAATTTTAATGACAAATTCAAAAAGTGATAACACTGTCCTCATGGCATTCATGTTAATGCCAGATTTATGACAAGTTATGTTGCCTAATTAACGTCAAGTATTCCTAACAAAAACTTTGTTTTTTTTAAATGACATAACCGAGCTAATAACACTTAACAACAGCATTGACAATAAGAAGGCAACATAACTTGTCATAAATCTGGCATAAACATGATTGTCATAGAAGATACGCAGATTAGATCTTTTAGATAGCTAGGTCAAAACACTGTACTTGAATTGGGTTTACAAGACTGTCATGACACCTTTATAATCATGATATGCATCTTTATGACAATTGTCTTTAAGTGTCATTAGTTCACTTATATTATTTTAAATGCATATATGTTGTCATGATAGCATAAAATCTCATTCATGAAATAAACGTATGCCATGTTTATGAAGGTGTCATGACAGTCTTATGAACACCGCCGTCTTTCTTTTTCCAGTCTTGACCTGCTATAAAAGATCACATCTGTGTATCTTCTATGACAATCATGTTTATTCCAGATTTATGACAAGTTATGCTGCCTTGGTAAGGTCAATGCTTTTGACAGCTGTCGTTAAGTGTCATTAGCTCATTTATGTCATTGTAAAGTCTTATGGACAAACAAAAAAATTTAATTTGTGTATTTTCTATGACAATGTATAATCTTCTATGGCAATCATGTTTATGTCAGATTTATGACATGTTATGTTGCCTTGGTATGTCAAGCTGTCAAAACAACATCATGCATTGCATTTATATTGACATAACCAAGCTATTGACACTTAATGACAAATATGCATTTGTTATAATGCATAACATCATATTCATATTTATGTTATGCTTATAAAGGTGTCATGACAGTCTTATGAACTCCCCCTTCTGTCTTTTTTCAGGATTGGCCTGGCTATAAAAGATCAAATCTCTGCATCTTCTATGACAGTCTTGTTTATGTCAGACTTATGACATGTTATGTTGCCTTGGTAATGTCAAGTTATCATAAGAACATCTTTGCGTTAAAGACACTTAATGACACTTATGCAGTTGTTATAAGCATGCATAACATCTCATTCATATTCATATCATGATTATAAAGGTGTCATGACAGTCTTATGCAAACTCAAAAATCTTTTATAGCCAGGCCAGTCCTCGAAAAAGAAAGAAGAGGGTGCTCATAAGCCTGTCATGACACCTTTATAACCATGACATATCATAGATACGATTTTATGCTATCATGACAGCATATATGCGTTTGAAATGATATAAGTAAACTAATGACACTTAATTACAATTGTCAAAAGCATGCATAAAATCCATGATCATAAAAGTGACATGACAAGCTTATGTACACCCAAAAAAGATCAAATCTGTGTATCTTCTATGGCAAACATGTTTATGCCAGATTTATGACAAGTTATGTTGCCTTAATGTCAAGTTGTCATAACATCTTTGCGTTTAAAATGACATAACTGAGCTAATGACACTTAATGACACTTATGCAGTTGTCTTAAGCATGCATAACCTCATTTGTATTCATGTCATGATTATAAAGGTGTCATGACAGTCTTATGTACACCCAAAATCTTTTATAGCCAGACCGATCCTGGAAAAAGAAAGAAGGGGATGTTCATAAAACTGTCATGACACCTTTATAACCATGACATATCATTAATGAGATTTTATGCTGTTATGACTACATATATGCATTTAAAATTACATAAGTGAAGTAATGACACTTAATTACAATTGTCATAAGCATGCATAAAATCCAAGATCATGAAGGTGACATGACAAGCTTATGTACAGCCAAAAAAGATCAAATCTGTGTATCTTCTATGACAATCATGTTTATGCCAGATTTATGACAAGTTATTTTGCCTTCGTAATGTCAAGTTGTCATAAGACCATCTTTGCATTTATAACGAATTTACTGAGCTAATGGCCCTTAATGACAGTCGACAAAAGCTATGTCCTTACCAAGGCAACATAACTTGTCATAAATCTGGCATAAACATGATTGTCATAGAAGATACACAGATGTGATCTTTCAAAGCCAGACCAATCCTGGAGAAAGAAAGAAGGGGGTGTTCATAAGACTGTCATGACACCTTTATAACCATGACATGACATATCAGGAATGAGAGTTTATGCTGTCATGACAACATATATGCAATTAAAATTAGATAAGTGAGCTAAAGACACTTAATTACAATTGTCATAAGCATGCATAATGTCCATGTCATGGTTATTAAGGCGTCATGACAGTCTTATGCACACTTAATTTAAGAGTTATACACACATATATATGGTTTCATTTCCAGTATTGACCTGGCTATAAAAGATCAACTCTGTGTATCTTCAATGGCGTTCGCTCTCATTGAAAGTGAGCTAGACTGCCTCATCCTCTGTGAAATGTCCTCTGGAATGAGTCACGACCTCTTGTCTCGGCGTGAACCGTCCCTCAGTTCTCCTTCTCTGACCTGTGCTTGTCTTATTATTGCCCGTGAGACACTCACACGTGGGCTGACCTTTTTTGGTACGCTTTTCCAATTAAATCCTGACAGGCTCTTGTCTGAACAAAGCGCCCTGAGATGCCCTCGCCCCGCGTAACTTCGCAGAAATCCTCCACTTTTGGAGCGGAGGTGGCGGAGTGTGTTATTGGTGACTCATGGACTACGACCGAAGGACTCGCCCGCTCGTGGAGATAATTGCATTTCTCTCACCTGTGCCATTTATTTTGCAGGCCTTCAAAAGTGCCACCATGAGCTCATACTGGTGCGCGGGGAAGGGTGATGTCATCGAGAACTGGTGCCGATGTGACCTGACTGCGCTCGGAAAAGATGGACTTCCCAATTGCAGCCCACTGCGGAGACCTGTGTGAGTGACCCAATCCCTCACACTTTACAATAAGCTTTCAATAATATATGTTTATTACATTAAAAAACTATGAATAATACTTGCACAGCTTGTATTGATCATAGTTCAATGTTGACCAATGCAAAATTAAACATCCAAATATCAAGCTTGTTAACATTATATACTGTAAATCCCAACAGTCAACTTTATCAAATGAAATAAGTGTAGTTAACTCAAAATTGACTAGTGTGCTACTCTGAAACAGTGACAAAATGTGTGTTTAAAAAATATATATAACTGATTTAAACATCAAAAGCTTGCACTTTGTCACTTCCACCTAAATTAATAAATGATTTACTTCAGACTTCAGTTTCTTATCAAATCTTCCGACCAATCAAATGCTCTCTAGTGTCTGACATGCCCCGCCCCCTTCTTCTCATTGGCTTTTCACTTGATGTGCTTAAGCTCAACCACTCTCACTGGCAGTGCTGTGAGAAATCCAAACTAAAAGGGGAGGAGCTACTCTAAGTCCCGCCTCATCTTCATTATTCAGTTGAGATTACGTCAAACATCGGATGTAAAAATGCACATTTCAAAGCACTTCGCGAGACCTTTAAGACTGCTCAGACTTGTATTTTCCACATTGACTTCCATTATAATGACATTTTTTTGATTGAAAAACCTTGACACCATATACTCATGCATTTTCGATAGTCTGTTGTTCCATAAAACTGTATATTATAACTGTGATTATAATGGAAGTCAATGGGGCAAAAACAGCCCCCAACATAACAAAAGGGTAGTCATTTTGTCTAGAGTGTATTGTTGAGTTTTTGAGAAGCATTTTCCCAAAATATGTGTTAAAAATAAGATTTGTCAGCAAAAAATAATCCCATTTGCTGAAACACAGAGATAGTTGTGGACAAATTAAGACTTTAAATCAGCCCAGAGTGAATGAAAACAACCCAACAGCAAACAGGAGTTAAGGAAACTAAAAGGATCATGGGATGGAGCCGAATATTAGCACACATGGTAATGTTGTCTTTATTTTCCCAGATTAAGACTGGCTCCACACCTGGAACCCTCCAGTACGATGGTGGCGCTGGAATGGATCGATGTAGAGCCTCTGATTGGCTACAAGGTGTCAGATTACATCATTCAACATAAGCGAGTGGAGGACCCATCAGAGGCTGAAATCTACACAGGTAAGTGAGAAATCACCTTATTATTAAAGTACACATGAAATCAAAACAAAGTGGTTTTTTTAGCTCACACTGCTAGTTTTGTGCTGAATGGTCCGTCTGTGTATGTCATTAAGAAAAAAAATAGTTTAATCTTTAAATGAAATCTGAAAATGCACTTCCAGTTTTCAGTTCAATTCTCAGATCACGTCTTTCTGAAGTAGTGGGCGGGGCTAACATACGCCACACCCCTTTAGTTGTCAGTACAAACAAAAATGGTGACACGGAGTCAGCTAGGTTGCAATAACTCTCCCCAAACTCTTTTCCCCATTTTTTTCTGAATGAAATGCCTACTTTACTACAACCAATCAGCTCACAGTAGAAAAAAGAAGCCACGCCCACTGTTTTCTCATTTAATATTCCATTTCTTCAGGAACTGCATCTCAATACCAACAAAAAACGGTCACAGCTTCAAGTTGTTCGACCTCTAATGTAACTTAAAACAATTACCAATGAAAAAAAAAAATATTGTTTGAAGCAGAAATCTTTGTAAGTGTAACACTTTGTCCCGACTAACACAGAACGTCTTTTCCATGTTATTGATTTTGTCCTAACTATTGCTAACCAAAGCTTTTAGAAATGATTTCTGTGACATTGTGGCTGAAAAACAGTATAAACTACTATGACAATGATCTCCTCAGGTGCCGATTATGTGCTTTATTCAGTGTTAAATGCTAAATGAACAGCAAAAATTCCCAGGTAGCAAAGAATTCTGGCCCAGATTTGGCATAAAGCTGGCACAGCAGGCATTCGTATGGCACTAGCATGCAGCATGTGGGCCAAACATGGCCCGGGCTAATTGATGTGTTCAGTAGAGTGTTTCCACCGTTTCCTCACACCACCAGAGTAAAGAGTAAAAGTAAAGAGGCTGATTGGGGGAGGCTTATTCTTTATCCTCGCGCTGCAGATGCCCTGTTTAACTGTTTTCTTGCTAGTGAAGCGTTCAGTTTTTACACTTACAGTTGATGTCAAAATTATTAGCCCCCCTTTGAATTGTTTTTTCTTTTTTAAATATTTCCCAAATGATGTCGAACAGAGCAAGGAAATTTTCACAGTATGTCTGATAATATTTTTTCTTCTGGAGAAAGTCTCATTTGTTTTATTTCGGCTAGAATAAAAGCAGTTTTGAATTTTTTAAAAGCCATTTTAAGGTCAAATTATTAGCCCCTTTAAGCTATATATTTTTTCGATAATCTACAGAACAAACCATCATTATACAATAACTTGCCTAATTACCCTAACCTGCCTAATTAACCTAATTAACCTAGTTAAGCCTTTAAATGTCACTTTAACCTGTATAGAAGTGTCTTGAAGAATATCTAGTCAAATATTATGTACTATCACATGGCAAAGATAAAATAAATCAGTTATTAAAAAAAAAAAATTAAAGCTATTATGATTAGAAATGAGTTGGAAAAAGCTGCTCTCCATTACACAGAAAAAAAATTAACAGGGGGGCTAATAATTCTGACTTCAACTGTATAACTGATCAATGTAGAAATCTAAATTTCCAGTGCTGGGAATCTGCAGTTCAACGTTTGTCCTCACAGCCTGCAGTGAGAGTCTGAAACACATCACTGATTGTCTTGTTGATCTGGTCAAATCTCGTTAAACTACGATCTGAGGGTTTCAGGACCAGAGAGACTCGGAGATGAGAAAGCAGAGGTCACTAACACTGACCTGCAGACGTCTGTCCGAGTCACAGCGTGTGAGTCAGCGTTCAGGTGACAGGAATCTAATAAAACAGGACAGACCGAATGCTAAGGTTGAACTGGCCGGGTTTAGTCATTGCAAGTAATCCGTCTTGCAGAAGTGAAGGAGGTGAAGGCGTTTGCTGGCAGATGGCATGACGTGTTTCATTCTGATCGACAGACTCTGATTGGTTACGTCCAACCTGGAGATTAGACCCTCCAATGGTCCAAAACAGTGGCTTACAACTGAGCTTATTGGCTGTTTTACACACAATTCAGCTGAAAGTAGTCAACATTAGAAATGGATCATTGTTTATCATTAAAGTTGCCCTAAAACTATTTAACAACACCCATTCTTGATATTCCAGCATATGTTTTAAACACAGATGCCCATCCAGCTGCAACGCAGCATACACTCTCACATTCGCATAAACACTCACACACTATACAGCCATTGTAGTTTCTTCAATTCCCAGATAGCGCTTGTGTTTGGACTGTGGGGGGAAACGGAGCACCCGGAGCAAACCCACATCAACAAGGGCAGAACATGCAAACTCCACACAAAAATGCCAACTGGCCCAGCTGGGACTCGAATCAGCGATCTTATTGCTGTGAGGCCACAGTGCTGACCGCTGAGCCACTGTATCGCCTGGTTTGAAATCCTATAAGAAAACCTGGTGATGACAACAGTCATTTTCCATCCTGTGATTATCAGATGGTGGCCATAATGAGAGACATGCTGAAAGGGGCTCATTTTGGCACTGAGACTTCAAATCTTTTGGATCATGTGTCACATTCTGTACAATTTGAGGCAAAAAAAAAATGCACTCTTTGTTGTAGTGCTAAAGTATCGAATGTTGTGATATGATATTAAAGGATTTATAGAATAAAGGGAGATATTTAGAAATGCTTCAAGATGGGAAACTTTAGGACAGGATGTCTGAGAAAATAAACTGTTACCAGAGACACACTTTTTCCCAGAGATGGGTTGCGGCTGGAAGGGCATCCGCTGCGTAAAAACTTGCTGGATTAGTTGGCGGTTCATTCCGCTGTGGCGACCCCAGATTAATAAAGGGACTAAGCTGACAAGATAACGAACGAGACACACTTCATAGGTAATCAGATATGTATTTCCTCAAAGCATCTGCCTTCATTCTAATATACACTACCTAAGACTTGTTTCCCAGTATTGGGTTGCAGCTGGAAGGGCATCCGCTGCATAGAGCTGCGGTGAAGCTACGCATCGATGAATTTGCTCTTCAGTGTTTGGACTCTCAGTAATGACTTTAAAGCACACTGAACTGAGCTAAACTGAACTGAACTGAACTTAAATACTAAAAACTGAACTACCCTGATCCAGTTACTATGACCATTTATGTGAAGCTGCTTTGACACAATCTACATTATGTAAAAGCGCTACACAAATAAAGCTGAATTGAATTAAATTGAATAAACATATGGAATAGTTGGCGGCTCATTCCGCTGTGTTGACCTCTAATAAATAAGCAGAAGGAAATCTAATGAATGAATGGAACTTTCAGCAAGTTTTCCAAAGAGAATAATTGCAGCGTAAACATTTAAGCAGAGATTTGTGCCAGGGTTAGATCTGCAGCTCTCAATGCTGATGTTTTTTTCTGCTGAGTGTACAATCAAGGACAAACTTAATATTTAAGCCAAACATCTCTATTCTTTCTCCAGCTCCATAGATGAACTCATGTTGTGAGGTAGAAAAAAAAAGGTTCAAAGCCAGCCACACCGCTCACCTAAGGCAGTTGACTCACCGCCCACAAATATGTTTTGCATTTCCTAATTAAACGAAATAAAATGTTTAGCTTTTGTGCTGACCAATGCTGGGAAGCCTGAATGTTCTTGCGCTGCCATCTATAAACAGCTTTATTGCGTGCTGTTTGCTTCACAGTTTTGTACACGTAAAATGAGATTCTCGGCAACAATGTGTCACCGTGACTTAGCATTAGGTTAGCATGCTGAGCCTGACACACATTCGCACAGCGGGACGACGGAGGTTTTATGCATTTGACACTGCAAGACGATTATAATGAGTTCAAACAAGACCAGGGTTGCTTTTATTGTGTCCACTTTAATGCCTTTTCTGTGAATTGGAAATAAAAAATGAGCATTGTAGTAGTAGCCAGGTCAGATTGACCCTTGATTTAGTATGGCTTGTTTTTGCCAAGACATATTGATCTTTGATATAGGATCAGCATTGTATGATTCTTGCACAGTCCCAAAGTTAAGTGGTTTTGAGCTGTTCTTTTGGTCTGGCTGTTGCAGGAAAACTCTAGTGTTTAATTTTGCTATCAAGGCAAAAATCCAACCCAGGCTCTTTTCAGGTACAGTGCATCCTCAGGTCTACGTTCTGGGGACAGCGAAATACGTAAGCACTGGTACGTCTGCTCTCAGTTTTTGCAAATCTGCCAGATACCTTTGTGTATGCTTTTTGATGATCTCAAATTTCTCTTTCGTGCCCTCCTCTCGGATAAATCCACCAGAGGGCGCAATATACACTTCAGCCGACCAAGCCAGCTAGCTGTTGATTGACCAACTGCCCTCCCCCCTTCCCTAAACCCAACCAATTGTGTTTTCAAAAGCCCTGATTGACTCGATCACCCAATTACCTAAACCCAACCAATAGTGTTTTCATAAGCACTGATTGACCCAATCACACACTTCCCTAAACCCAACCAATAGTGTTTTCAAAATCACTGATTGACTCGATCACCCAATTCCCTAAACCCAACCAATAGTGTTTTCATAAGCACTGATTGACCCGATCACACACTTCATTAAAACCCAACCAATTGTGTTTTCAAAAGCACAGATTGACCCGATCCCCCACTTCCCTAAACCCAACCAATAGTGTTTTCAAAAGCACTGATTGACCCAATCACACACTTGCCTAAACCCAAACAATAGTGTTTTCAAAAGCACTGATTGACCCGATCACCCACTTCCCTAAACCCAACCAATAGTGTTTTCAAAGGCCCTGATTGACCCGATCACCCACTTCCCTAAACCCAACCAATAGTGTTTTCAAAAGCCCTGATTGACCCGATCACCCACTTTCCTAAACCCAACCAATAGTGTTTTCAAAAGCACTGATTGAACCGATCACCCACTTCCCTAAACCCAACCAATAGTGTTTTCAAAAGCACTGATTAACCCGATCACCCACTTCCCTAAACCCAACCAATAGTGTTTTCAAAGGCCCTGATTGACCCGATCACCCACTTCCCTAAACCCAACCAATAGTGT